GATCAGCCCAGAGGTTGTTTTAGGGATTGATCTGGAGTCAGTCATAACCTGACTTTGATCAGCCCAGAGGTTGTTTTAGGGTTCAATCTGTGAGTTAGCCATGCCCTGTCTTCGATCAGCCCAGAGGTTGTTTCAGGGTTTGAAATGTAAGGGGTGTAACCAGGGATCTTGCAGGGGAGGTGCACAGACAATGATTCGCAGAACCAAAAAAAGGAAAAAAAGGGGAAAAAAAGGTAACCAAAAACAATAGCAGAGCCAAACAAAAAAAAAAACAAACAAAAAAACAAAAAGCAGAACCAAAAGAAAAAAGAAAAGGAATAATGTGCAAGTGATTCTTAAAAATGCTACAATATGCAGATGGAAAGTGGTCTTCATTTAATCAAAAAACATTTACATGCAATTTTAAAGCAAAAGGAGATAGATAAGCGCACCTTAAGCTTTTATGGGGGGGGTGCACGTGCACCCTGTGCTCCCCCTGGTTATGGCCCTGTGCCTTGACTTATAATTAGATCAGCTCAGAGGTTGTTTCAGGGTTTGATCTGTAAGTTTCAGGGTATCTGTAATATTCGAAGGTTTAAAGACTATTTTCAAGCCATACCTGTTAGGTACGTATTATGTGAAGAATTAATAAAATAATGTGCTAGATTCTGTGTCATGTCCTGATGAATGGACAGTCTGTCTGGATTGATGATTGTGTTATCATAACTCATGAGGTATCTTGTTAAGCCACGGACCGAGAAATGTCCTGAAATACAATGGGGAAAATGATAAGAAAACAGTATACTATGGCTTCCAGAGGGTCTTTTACTTCAGTGGTTCCAATTGTCATGTAGGCATATAATGCAGGGGATTACCGAGATTTTTGCCTAGGAAGAGAGGGGGGGGGGGCATTTTTAGAACATTAGAAAGTTGTATCATGTGATCATGAATAGAGGCCCCATTGGCCCTGTGTACACCCCTTCAACGTTAACTCGGTTGGGCATCATAATTAAGTTGTTGTGCAGGAGGTTGTAGGTTGAAGCATCAGCCAGACCAATGCTCAATGTATGTGCATAAGGTACTGCTTTTGCTCTTAAAACAAAAATCTGCAAATGTTAAGACTTTCATAAATGTGGTCAAGGTGAACATGTAAAATTGCAGTCTTGTCATTTAAAAAATAGAGTACAAAATTAATTTGTGATGTGTCATCCTCTCTCTATATCGAAATAATGGTTATTTATTTTATACCCTCTTCTCTCACCTTTACATATGAATAGAAGACCACTAGAGAGTGCATACAATATGCCTGCAAAAATGTTAACTAACTAAATCAATTGTAGAAATCATTGCAAAGTTTTGTAGGTCTACGGTCTCCTGAGGTCTACTGAAGTTACTGATTTTGTGCAATTTCTTACAAAGTTTTTCATGGACATATGGTGTGCAATTAATGATATAGGTTACCTTTTTTCACAAAGTCCTTATTGGGCTCGTATTTGTTAATAATTTCTTGTGCCTTCTCAGGATCACAGTAGGGAAACAGAATTTCGTTCAACCGAGGGTCTCGTTGGTTGTTATTAATAAAATCCACTACTTGTTCTGTCGTTAAATAAGGCTTTTTCTTTGCACTGCATAAAAAATAAAATTTGTCATCAGTAATCCAAAAGTAGAAATTGTTTAATTGTTCCACATTTTTTCGGCTGTCATCATGACATTCCTATCAATTTTTGACCCTTAATTGTGAATACTCCCATTTCGAGTTCACCTTTACTCAGTCTTAGCCTTGATCGTGTACGAATGTGTTCTTTTCTTTTATTAAGGTCCATTGTATAGTAAGGAATAAATGTATGCACTACGGGACAATACGAGTTGATTAAAATGCCACGGGTTTTGGTTGAATAGCTGAATAATATAACGCACAAACAAGACTAAGACTGAGCAAAGAGAACTCGAAACTGGAGTAGTGTGTAGTTCCATAAAATATCCATACCCCACCCATGGAGGAAATTGGAAATTCTGGAGGGGAGAGGGGGTAGAGAAAGAATAAAATTACAGAGTTCGCATGGAAGAAAATCGGAAGTTCCTGGATTGGAGGTAGGGGGTCCTTTTACAAATTTCCTCTGTGGTGGGGTATGGATATTTTCTGGAACTACACATTTGCTTTCTCTGAGCAACCCTCCACAATCAAGTATAGCAGAGGACCCCACCCTAACAAATAGGGATAACATGGCTCTTTTAAGTCAAAGGACATTTGTCAAACAAAGGTTATGTAAAGATACACTTACATTTCAGAGAAAATTTTATCAATATCTTGTCTATTGCAAAGTCGATTGTAGAACTTGAGGAAAATTTCAAAAGTGAATTCATCTAGACTTATTAGATCATTCTGAAAAATAGCATTTTTGATAAACATCAAATAAAGGCTTGTTAAAATAACAAAATTAATGTAACTTCTTTAGTTACAATAGGCATGATGGCATCATTTTACTACCATTACCAAAATGCTTCGCAAATTTTCTTTCTTATTCAAATTTGTATTTCCTTAGGAGAATAATAAGACAATTCGTGCTAATTAACTGAACAAAAGGAAGTGTGCAAAGGGAGTCTGGTAGAATGCAAATAATATACCCGTGAAATAGATAGCTAGGTAACTAATTACTAACTTTGTGCTATTGGTTGCCTAAGTCTAATTAGTTAAAGAAATAGGTGAGCCGTGACAGGTAAACTAGTGCAAGTGTGCTACTCAAGGGCGCATATTTTTAAATATTTTTAAACACACTTACAAAAACTGAAACAATATTTTGTTGTACATGCATGCTTTTCCTTCGTATAATTTTACATGTTCACATTTTATCTATTCATTTGCATATTGAGTTGTCACTCTAATAAATGCCCGTTCCCTTGTCATGCCTCACTGAATGTCTATAGCTTGTCTAATTAAGCACTAACTATCTCCTATTTCATCCTAACTATTTCACGGGTATATTATTTGCACTCTAGTGGTAGTAAATGATGCTATAATGCAAGTGACCTATTAGTCTTACCTTTCCATGTGGTAAACCAACAGACTGCAAGGCTTCTTGCACCCGTTTCCTGTCTTCTTTACTAGAGCTAGTAATATATTTGATAATACTGGGGGAAAGAAACAAATTATACATACATTAATCATCCCTTCAATGTTTGACATAAAATATTGGGTCTGGAAAATTAATTTTGTATGAAGAAGAAAGAACTGTTCATTACTAGAGCTAGTAATTAATATATTTGATAAATTATAATGAAAAAGAAATATAAATTAGCCATGACACAGTGTCAAGCGTCTATTTAAAAATCCCTCCGTAAACAAAACTATTGCATCTTTATTTTTTCCCATTTTTCACACCTATATAATTAATCCTTTCATTCAAGAAAATGTTGGTCATATTGAACACTAGAGGGGTGGGAATTCCACAAGAGAATCCTGCAGTGAAAGACTGAGGTACATTAAATAAAACCAATAGGTGGTTAGCCATAATTATCCAAGATGTTGTGCTGGTTGACTTCTGTCAATTGAAACCCACTGCTTTAGCTATCATGCACTTGGTGGACAAATATCATAAAAGGGCTTTTAAGATACTGGTCATTAGATAACGTCTTGCCCACAATTAGAACTTGTCTAATCAAAAATTTGTCTAGTTGGTCACCTTGAGCCAGAAACAAGGTATGACCAAGCTATCATGACCAATTGGTGACTGACCAGCTTTCATTTTACATAAGCCTTGCAAAAAGCATCTCTTCTGATCGAGTAGTATGTAATACACAGTTTACACATTYGTGGTCAAAAAATGTCAAACTTACTTTTTGACTAGAACTTTTCCATCTGGGCTAACCGTGACACAGAGCTTTGTATAACTATTGAAAAGAAATAACATGATTACTACATAATACCTATGTCCCCGTCTGACTACCTCAAGATTCTATTATTTTTTCTTTGTTAACTATTAACCCCTCCCTGTGAGATATACAAAGAACTGCCCAATCTGTTCCCCCTCTTAAATCATAATGTATGTTTTTAATTGGGTTAGACATGAAATTAGTGCACCGAGCAGTTTTGGTTATTTTACCATATCTTTCATGGAGGAAGTTGCTTTTTATATCTAACATAATATATTATTTTATTTTTATACAGATATTATTTTCCTGTTAATATTATGATCGTAATTTGATTAGATGCTTTATACTGTGCATTTGATTATAATTTCAACATATTAATTTGCACATTATAAATATTAAATATCATCATCATCATCATCATTACTATAACCCCTCCCCTACCCTCCTATACACTACACCCTACACCCCAGAAATCCCAATAGACCAGTTTCGAATTCCAAATTACCGCTGTGTTTCTTGATTACAGACTCATTTGCACAGGGTTAGCCTCGCATCAGTGTCTAAATATTTACAAATACCAACAGTAAAGTAAAGAATGCACAACTTCAACAATACAAACACTTTGAAACTCGACGGACCTTGACTGGAACACGTGAACATTCTGCACAAACTCGAGGCTAACCCTGTACAAATGAGTCTGCAATCAAGAAACACAGCGGTAATTTGGAATTCGAAAGGGGTCTATTGGCCAAAAGTACAAAATCAATGCACCTGTCCTGATAACAGCACTTGCCTCTCACCATTGGATCCTGGATTCGATTCCCAGACTCAGTGTTGTGGCAGTGTACAGTAGCTTGTCGGTTTTCAACTGTGCTTCTTTCCACAGTTTTGTTCGCCACTGCCTATTAATTAATATTATAAGGGCTGCCCTCTCRAAATAAGGACTTATTAATTTCTCTTAATACAACTTTCCCAATCATAGAAAAATATAATTTATATAAATATTTAATTTTAACTGACAATATAGCAATATATTTTACATACTGTTTCTGAAGATATGTCGATGGGCATACATTAATTGCCAGAATATTATGTATCAGTTTGTTTAATGCTTCAGTCCATTGAGTGGCAATATTTGCTGAACCTGATACTAGATTGATGAAAATCACATCTACCATATTCGTTCCATGTACTATCGTTACTGTTTTGTTTAGCAATTCCTCGTCTGTACCACCAGTTCTCACAGAGTCTCTTAACTTGGGATCCTGAAAGGAAGATCAAATAAATTATTGTAAAGAAAGAGCTTTGTATTGGGCTTCCTGTGTTAAACCACAGGTTACCCAATGTCAATGTGTAGTTGTAGAAAAAATTGGATCAAATTCCAGTGTTTTGCTTTTCTCTTTGGGAACTAAGAATACTACAATAAGCCTTTTCATAGTTTAAGAATCGATTCCACTGCGCATGCGATTTTATCCCAAATTTCTCACCTTCCTTTGTTTAATTAAGAACAAAAGAAGGTTTCGATAAAAGAAGGTGAGAAATTCGGGATAAAATCGCATGCGCAGTGGAATGGATTCTTAAACTATGAAAAGGCTTATATATTCATAGGCATTAATGCCACTCCCCCACCCCTCCTACCTACCCTTCCTATTAACGTTTCTAAAACCAGAGCTATGTAAAAATACTTCCTGGAAAAAACAGTAATGTGCAGTCCCAAAAATTATCCATACCCCCTTCACAGAGGAATTTTATAAAGACACCCCCCTACCCCCAAAAATTCTAATTTTCTTCCATACAAATTCTGTAATTTTTGTTCTTTCTCTGACCCCCCTACTCTTTGGAAATTCCAAATTCCTCTGTGGGGTGGGTATGGATGATTTCTGGAACTACACATTCCTCTCCGAGGTGATGTAAAGGTTAGAAAAGAGAGAATATTCATATTATACTCATCCACTTCCACACTTTCGAGAATTTGACACATTTAATCCTTTCTCTTGTCAAAATAGAATAACTTGTTAATATAGCTGAGTTCAAGTTGATAACTTGCAGGTTTTTATTCATTTGGACATTCATTCATGCTACTTAGCTTGATTTACCCTGTTGTGCTATTTTTGAATAGCTATTACTATATTTTTCTTTWAAAAAAATATTTAAGACTAACACTAAATGATTATTTTTTTTAAAATAAGCACAAAGCACGAATTACTAAATACCCTTAGGATAATACTGTCTTGTCAGTACTGATTACCATGGATAAAAATACAGATTGAAATGGTTTGTCAGACAACCGAATGTAAACAATTCCATCTAGTACGACAGAGATGAAAGAGATTGGACAATAATATAGGACAAAATGAAATAGACATAATGGAGCCAAAGTTTCTAATGGTCTGTCAACATTAGCTTCACTGGTGGTGTGAAATACATGTTCTACAGACATGAACTAAATGTCTATGAGACAAAAACGGAAGAGAAATTTTGATCTGTTCCAAACTTGACAGATTGTGGTAAAACAGTAGATTCAATATATCACTGGGGAAATTTCTTTGAATGAGAAATTTTTTAAAATGGCAAACGACAAAATTTTGCTTGCCAATTCCCACCTATTCCCATTTCCTGTTGCCATTGCTTAGTTCCAGAAATAATCCATACCCAGCTCTCAAAGGAATTTGGAATTTCCAAAGGTCTGGTGGGGGAGTCAGTGAAATAACAAAATTACAAAGTTTTTATAGGAGAAAATTGGAATTTCTGGGGTGGGGTCTTTTAAAAAAGGGGGAGGAGTAGGGATGGTTTCTCCCCATTGCAGATTTCTTCTCCTTTCAACTAAAGAATAGCGAGCAGCTTGGAGAGCTAGAAATATCTGCTATGAAATAAATTTATTTATATTTTGTTGAATACATGCATTTACACTTCCTAGAATCCTTTATATAAAATTCTAAAATACAATCACTTTCCATAATCATATTCATCAAATAAATTATTAAAAGTAAGTATTTCATATTTCATATTTAGTCTGAATGCATGTCATCCTTGAGTACATATTTTTCAAATGAAGACACATCCTTGGGAAACTAATGAATCTAGTACTTGTCATAAGTATATATAAACTTGAATCATTTATCCCTAAGCAAACTCACATTTATTGAGAGCTTAAGGAAGGACTAAATAGCGGACAGTCTAATCTTGGAATGTGTAAGCATGTACCGGAGACTGACATCTTGATAAAATGAATGAACCTCACATATCAATTCATGTTTATTAACATGAGCCTTTTATCTCAAGGTAAACATGTATTTAGAAAAGAGCTTGATCGCAAGATCTCATTATATGGCTAAGCAGTCAGGCAAAGAGTAAATAAACTATAAGCTTGTAGTAATTGTGCTGTCAACAATAACCCACTTAGTTGACTACTGGATCAATCATAGACACTATCAAAAAGAAACCGCATTCATGCATGCGAAGGCGTATCATTCAAAATACATTAAATCCATTTTAGATGAAATGCTGGATTACATATGACGAAATCTGAGATCACTACCTAATTGCGTAAGTAGACAATTATTGACAAGCTACACGATTCCAACTTCAAAACATCAAGCAAAACCAGTTAAGAGGGTTTATTTTGGCAGTGTGTATTAACTAAAGTTAAGATTTTTCATTTCTTTGAATTTATGCAAAATTTTTCTAATAAATCTTTTCTAGGAAATCATCAAAAACTAGCTACTGAACATTGTATTACTCAAGGTATTGTGTCTATGCAAGCTGTTATATTAAAAAACCAACCCATGCCCACCACAATAATTAAACATTTCTATCTTTGCAGAGACAATATGGCTTCTGTCAAGTGGAAAATTGAACTAGTAATTTATATCTATTATATATATAATTGACAACCTGGTATATTTATAATGGGGGTAAGTAAGGACGTAGTTTGCTGAAGCCAAGTTGCATTTCTTCCTCAAGAAGGATTTCTTGGTTCTTTTTAACACTCCAAATTTATGCAGCTCTATGTAAGACTTTAAATATGTCATTGTTATTAATCAGTTGATATGAACTTGTTAGATTTTTGATTATTGTAAATTAATAAACATTTCATTCACTCACATGTACTTCATTCCTTTATTCATCCATCCATCCATTGATTGATTCATTCATCCATCCATTGATCGATTGATTGATTGATTCATTCATTTATTCATTGATTGATTGATTCATTAATTCATTTATTCATCCATCCACATTGATTGATTGATTGATTGATTGATTCATTTATTTATTCATGCATTCATCCATCCATTCATTGATTGGTTGATCCATTTATTTATTTATCCATCCATTGATTGATTGATTGATTCATTTATTCATGCATTCATCCATCCATTCATTCATTGATTCATTCATCCATCCATTCATTGATTCATTTATTCATGCATTCATCCATCCATTCATTCATTGATTCATCCATCCATTCATTCATTGATTCATTGATTCATTTATTTATTCATTCTCTCATTTTCATATTCATTTAATCATCCAGTTATCCATTCCTCCATCTATTCATTTATTCAGTCATTGAAATTGAAAATAAATTTTAACTTGAGTATTGCAAATAATACACTGTATTAAGATCAATTAGTATCAACCACACTGTGACTCCAATTCCCTTGAGAGTCAATTCAAAAAATGTTGTCATCAACCAAATAAAGCCTACGCGACTGGACCGAAAGGAACTCTGGGCAGCAATCATTGAAGCCAAGTTGAATCCATAATTTTATCTGACTAGTTATGCCTGGTTTACAGCATGAACCTTTGCAGGTGAGTGGGAAGTGTTGAAGGAGACATCTTTTTAATGCCTTCATATTTTCGAAATTGTGAACTGAATCATAACTACTTTGTTTTTCTTTCCCAAAACTCAAAGACATGCATTTGATCGATTGTTTCTCGCCATTATTATCTTATTACTAGCAGGAACAATCAATTCCGAACGAATATTTAACCACTTCAGTGAATTTTACCCATATTCCTTTCGGTCCAGTCGCGTAGGCTTGAGCCGGTCAATGACGACGTTTTTTGAATTGGCTGTATATGACAATGAAACAGCCACCATGCTGGTTGATTTAACAATAGAAGCTAATGAGAAATTATTGTCAACTATGACGTATCATGCACCCTGGCAGAATATGCTGGATGTAAAACATTACTAAGAAGCTAATGTCCATTAAACCTCTTAGTCTTAGGCTCTAGCTTCTATGTCTAATAGACAAACATTTCTTTCGATAATTTAATAACAAGATAAGAGAAGTAAAGATAACCTACATCTTCTATTACATATCAATTGAATGTTTAATTCTTTAAGCCTTAAGTGCATTTTAGAATGACGAYATGAGTAACTTTACAGCAGTTTTACGGCACAAGTAGCTATTTTAATACCTTAAGTGTTTGAACATTAGGAGATAGGTTCTTTAGATAATGTAAAAATTGAGATAAAAATTAACTGATCGGTGGATAAAATTTTAACGAGAAAAAATCAAAAATACTCAATGACTGAACTATCTCAGAAGGATGGATATCAGAATGTGGTTCGGTTGATCCTGATCATAAAGAACAATCTAAATTTGATTAGAAAAATATAATTTATTTGTACCTCAATTTTTTGTGTTCTGACCACAATGTAAGTTGTTTTCGAAAACAAGAGTCTTCATAATTTTAATCTTTGTAGAAACAAAATCATACTAAAGAAAATAACATCTGCTTTAAAATGGAAAAATAATATGCCTCATGAAACTTTTTATGTCACAAGGTGAAAAAAATTCCAACCACAGCCTTTTTGAGTTATGACAAACTATTCAAACAAGAACTTATAGATTAGCATTGCAAATTACCTTCTCTGAAGAAGCTACCAATTGAGCACAAAATTGAAACRACAATCACTTAGAAAGTGATTGTTATTTCAATTTTTTATACAATTTTTAGAATGGTATAAAACTAGGAACACTTAACAGAAAGAAGTACATACTTTAAACTAATATCAATCATTTTATTTTATGGTTTTCCAATTTAATGTTTTCCTAATTATTCAAAATTTTTCCCATTTTTGTTGCGCTTACCAGCTTTGAGAACAAGTTCAATTCATTCTCGTTTGAAAAATTCAAAAAATTTCCTTTCAGTAGCAGCTGTTCTTAATTAACATGTAACCACTAAACCATCAAGTTCAAACCCAGTGTACGTGAAACATTTTTTTAGGTTGATGTCAAGAGAAATAGTA